ACCATCCACAAGACATTTGAAGGAAACTTGACGACTAAGCCAATCAATGGTGCGATTTTCATTTTCAATCCAAGAACCGGCCAACTTTTCTTAAAAATCATTCATACCAGTGTCTGGGCTGGCCAAAAACGTTTGGGTCAATTAGCCAAATGGAAGACAGCCGAAGAAGTTGCTGCCCTTATCCGGTCATTGCCTGTTGAAGAGCAACCTAAACAGCTTATTGTAACCAGAAAGGGTCTTCTCGATCCTCTTGAGGTCCATCTTCTTGATTTCCCGAACATCTCTATTCGAGCCTCAGAGTTGCAGCTCCCATTCCAAGCCGCAATGAAGATTGAAAAGCTCGCTGATATGATTCTGAAGGCCACCGAGCCGCAGATGGTTCTCTTCAACCTATATGACGAGTGGCTCAAGACTATCTCTTCATACACTGCATTCTCTCGACTTGTTCTGATTCTTCGAGCTTTGCATGTGAATATTGAAAAGACCAAGATCCTTCTGCGACCCGATAAGACTGTTATTACGCAGGAGCATCATATCTGGCCGACACTGTCGGATGAAGACTGGATAAAACTTGAAGTCCAACTTCGGGACCTGATTTTGAATGACTACGGAAAGAAAAATAATGTCAACGTCCAAAGTCTTACAGGAAGTGAAGTTCGAGATATCATCCTGGGTATGGAGATCAGTGCACCATCCCTCCAGCGCCAGCAAGCTGCCGAGATGGAGAAGCAGCAGCAGGAACAGAAACAGTTGACTGCTGTTACAACAAAGACTCAAAACGTCCGTGGCGAGGAGATCATTGTTACCACTACTTCCCAGTATGAGCAGCAATCATTTGCATCAAAGACGGAATGGCGAACTCGAGCAATTGCCACATCCAACCTACGCACACGAGCCAACAACATTTACATCTCTTCCGAGGATATCCAGGAAGACGGTCATTTCACTTATATTATGCCAAAGAACATCTTGAAACGGTTCATTATGATTTCTGACCTTCGCGTCCAAGTTGCCGGGTACCTATATGGAAGCTCTCCTCCAGATAACGACCAGGTCAAGGAGATCCGGACAATTGTCATGATACCACAGGTTGGTAATACACGGGATATACAGCTTCCGCAACAACTGCCTCAGCATGAGTACTTGAATGGTCTCGAGCCACTTGGAATCATACATACTTTATCCGGCAACGAACCGACATACATGACAGCAATGGATGTGACGCAGCACTCACGGTTAATGAACGCACATTCATCATGGGACAAAAAGACTGTGACGATGACTGTTTCATTCACTCCAGGCTCCGTTTCGCTTTCGGCCTGGGCTCTCACTCCTCAAGGCTATAAGTGGGGCGCCGAGAACAAGGACACAACATCCGATCAACCGCAAGGCTTTTCGACCAACATGGGTGACAAGTGCCAGCTCCTGCTCAGTGACAGGATTCGTGGATATTTCCTTGTCCCTGAGAACAATGTCTGGAACTACAGTTTCATGGGAAGTTCTTTCAGCAGTGTGGAGAAGCGGCCTATCTATGTCAAGGTCGATACTCCGATGGTAAGCTCCCCCAGTCTTTTCCTACAATTTACAGTATTTAGATGCTTTTAACTAACTGGAACTTTTTTGCTTTACCCAACAGAGATTCTATGATGACCAGCATAGACCATTGCACTTCCAAAACTTTGCCGAGTTGGAGGATATCTGGGTTGATAGGACGGATAACTTTGAGTGATTTATCCTATATAGGTCATCTCAGGTTTCATTTATTTCTTCGATTGCGTTATTAGTTTCCTATCTTATTCCTCTATAAGTCCTCAATATTTCCCCTTTTGAGGATATGTATGCTATGGAGCTGGTGTATAACCTTGGGCGTTCCTGATGATTTGTGAAAAATGTATATGCGGAATCAATGGAGACTTGTTATCTGTATTCAATACTCCGTACAATCTACTGAGAATGACGCGTTAGTGGTAGATCCCTGCCGGTCCTGTGAATATTAATTTTGCTTGTTCAACCCGTAAGTAGACCTTCCGACCTCGTTTCGTTTCTAGTTCAGGATTGGCGGTCGTATAGCCCTCTCGAGCCTCTGGCAGCCAGCCAAGCACGCCCTATGATAGAGGACAACTATATATTCCACCGATTGAACAAGGGATTGTTTTTCTCTCGTATTTTGCTATCCCATTTTTCCCCTCCACCTTGGTAGGAGGATAGTAGGCAGCTGCCTCATCTCCTATCTGTAAAAACAGTTCCGGGCCGCTTTGGTTGGCAAGTCGGCTGACCTCTAGCTAGTGAGTCATGTCTTTTGATTTCGACTCTTACTTCATGCAACTTGACCCCCTTAACTCCTGGACGGTCAAACGACTTACGGGTGGACTTGTCAACCTCACTGTCCGCGCCACGAAGAATAAATATGCGGGCAGGGAGAATGAGACAGCTAGCCAACCTGGTCAGCTTGAGGGCTGTCAGAGTTTGATACTGAAGTATGCTCCGCCCTTTGTAGCCAGCGTAGGTGAAGCTGCTCCATTCGACCAGATCCGACAGGTAAGGCTAGATATATAGTTCAGTCCCTCAGTCGGTCTTTAGTTGGACTATATGATGCTTATATCGATTCTAACCAAGCGTATAGAATGTTGAAAAGAATGCACTTGCGCTATTTTCTGCGCCAGATGGCCCGCTTCTATCTATGTTGACAGAAACATCCGTACGAGTTCCGAGCCTGGTATTTCATGATGAGAAATCCCATATCCTGGTACTTGAAGACCTAGGAGCATTGCCACCGCTTTCGGATCTTCTCTCGATTTCTTGGTTATCCTCCCACTACCCGGAATGGCCTTCACTGTCTGGGTCCTACTTTTTGGAAGATCGCTCGCTGTGCCTGTCTGCTGGAGCGAAATTCGGTCAATTCTTTGCTATTCTTCACGATAAAGGAACGCTGAACTCGATCAAGTCATATGGGTGTGACCCTAATCTTGCCCGATTCAAGAACAATAGTATGAGGGAGGTAGTGCGAGACGCGGCCGTGTCGACCATGCGACGGTATCTTGTTCAATTTAACTGTGTAGAGGCGGAGAAATTAAGCCACGCCATTGAAGAAGACTTCGAGCGCCAGGAAGAGTGGGATGGCGAAAGATGTTTTAGCGTTGGAGATCTATGGCCAGGCGGTATTCTTATCGAGAATCTGGCCTTGCAACCATCCCGGGGTACACATAGCTCAGAGCTACCTAAGTTGCCTAAGCTTGGAGTTATTGACTTTGAGTTCTCGGGTCCTGGACGAGGTGTTAACGGTGATATGGCCCAGCTCCTTGCCCATCTCCATTTATACTATATAGCATGGGGTAATTGTGGCGACCGGTTCAAACCCTTCCAGGCCGGAGTTCTTTCATTCATTGAGGGACTTTGTTCTTCGTACGCAACGTACAGCCGATCACTTGGGGCTCCATGGCAGCTACACACTCCTGATTCATCTTCTCCTGGGAGCCTACGAAAGCCTTTTCAGGTATCCTTCCCGCCATCTGTATCCTCTCACGCCGCTCAAATATTCCGCTCGTCCCTCCTCTTGCACGGACGAGAGATGGTAAACAATGCGGTTGAGAACGACTGGAGCAAATATAGCATAGACACACGTGGTGACGTTACTGACACGACGGGTAAAACTGCCAACGATAACGGCAGCGGATTGACTGAGAGAATGGTCAACACCGGAATCCGATGTCTCCGGTTAGCTGGGAATGACATTGAGAGTTTTGTCGAAGCTGATAATTGGGAGCAAGTCTGTTCCAGCAGTGAATCTTCGATAATTGCTAGGCTCTTCGTCGTTGACAGTAGCCCTCTAGCCTGAATCTCTACTACTACTCCTACTCCATCTATCTGCCTGCCTGCCGGCCATCCTGCATTTTCTCTCTTCTCTCTTCTCTCCTGCCATCTCAGCGTCCTCGCGATCTTATCTTATCTTCATGCTTGAGCCGCCCGCGGCCAAAATCATGTCACGTGTCATGTTACTACGCGCGGCTGGCGCTAAACCGCTTCTGGCGCGCGTTTTCGAGTGGCAGAAAAAAAAAAAGTAAAAAAAGAAAGGCGGCGACGCGAAAGTCGCTCCATCCCACCAAGAAAAAAAGGGCGGAAGTTTCGTGACTTCGTATTTTTTTTTTTTCTTCCTTTCTTCTCTTTCTCTTTTCTTCCTCCCCCCTGGCAGAAGCCAGGAAAGGGACCCCTACGTTTATAGTTGAATATAAGTAGTTGATCCGTTTTCTTTGCTTCTGTATTTATCAAGTTTTACGGACTGTTTTCTCTCTTTTTTTCCTCATACCCAAACCGCCGCGATGAAATACGTACTTGTTTCTGGAGGTAAGCCTGCAGCAATGCTTGACTCATGTTTCGACTCCTTGCATCCCGTGTACTATGGGGTTCGAGAGGATTAGTTTGCGGACAGCTTGATATATTATAAGAAACCATTTGGTTAATGTCTTTATTATCTATACAGGTGTGATCAGTGGCATCGGGAAGGGCGTAATTGGTATGCATCTGATTTGATATATATATGCCAGTTGTTGGGAAAGCCCAAAGCTGAAACCCCTATGCCGAGTATGCATGTCCTAACAACTGCAACTTATACAGCTTCTTCAAGTGGACTTCTCTTGAAGACCGATGGCCTCAAGATAAGTCTAACCTTGTCAATAATGCAATCGGGTCACTAGCTCTAACTATCGGTGCACGTTACCTCTATCAAGATCGACCCCTACATGAACGTAGACGCCGGGACTATGGCACCTACGGAGTATGTAATGAACCTTGAGTCATTCTTTAGAAGTATTGTCTGACTATTGGTGACTAGACACGGTGAGGTCTTTGTGTTGAACGATGGTGGTGAAGCCGATCTAGACCTCGGAAACTATGAGAGGTACTTGAATGTTACTCTCTCGCGAGATAACAACGTGAGTCTGTTGTACCGCCTTTATAGAGAAGTAGGGAATTTACTCATTTGTGCATAGATTACTACTGGAAAGATGTACAAGCATGTCATCGAAAAGGAACGGCGAGGGGACTACCTTGGCCGTACTGTCCAGATTGTTCCTCACCTCACGGATGCTATCCAAGATTGGATAGAGCGTGTAGCTAGGACTCCTGCTGACGATAGCAACGAGGAGCCCGATGTCTGTGTTATTGGTATGACCATTGAATAACAAATGCCAAAAGAAGCACTCGTTGAAGCTAAACTGAATATAGAGCTTGGTGGGACGCTTGGTGACATCGAGAGTGCTCCATTTGTTGAGGCCATGCGTCAGCTACGCCGCCGTGCTGGAAAGAACAATTTTCTCCAGATCCACGTCTCGCTTGTTCCTGCAATTCATGGAGAGTTGAAGACCAAGCCTACCCAGCAGGCTATCCGAGATGCGCGCTCAGCCGGCTTGAGCCCTGATCTGGTATGCGACTTAGGCAGTAATCAATCAGAATATATGGTAGTATAACTTGTCCATTTGCTAACATTGAAACCAACAACAGATTGCCTGCCGTTGTGAAAGGGCTCTTGACAAGGCCACCACTGATAAGATTGCTATGTTCTGCCAGGTTGAACCTGAGCAAGTGATTGGCGTCCACGATGTTGCTTCCACCTATCATGTCCCTCTCCTCCTAGAACAGCAAGGATTCCTTGGTCAGCTTCGTGATATCCTAAAGATTGATGACTTGACCATTCCCCAAGCTTCTATAGACAAGGGCCAAAACACTTGGAAACAGTGGAAGGCCCTGACAACTTCCCAAGAGCATGTCTATAGTACTGTTAACATTGCACTTGTCGGCAAGTATGTCAGTCTCCACGACTCTTACCTCTCCGTTATAAAATCTTTAGAGCACTCTGCCATGGCATGCCACCGAAAGCTCAAGATTACCTGGATTGATGCCTCAAATCTTGAGAAATCAGCCGCCGAGGCAAACCCAGAGGCATTCCACAAGGCCTGGCATGACATGTGTACTGCTGACGGCATCCTTGTTCCTGGCGGGTTCGGCACTCGTGGGACTGAGGGAATGGTAGCTGCGGCTCACTGGGCTCGTACCAAAGGCAAGCCTTACCTTGGTATCTGCCTCGGCATGCAAATAGCTGTCATTGAATACGCCCGTAACGTCTGCGGGATCCCAAAAGCCAGTTCTATTGAATTTGATGACCGCACTCCTGATCCTCTTATCGTTTTCATGCCTGAAATCGATCAAGTCAACCTTGGCGGTACTATGCGCCTCGGATCTCGACCAACGATTTTCCAAGAGGACAGTGAATGGTCAAAGCTCCGAAGGTTGTATGGACTTAGCCGTACTTCTATTGATGAACGTCACCGTCACCGCTATGAAGTCAACCCGGAATATATCGATACTCTTCAGAAAGGTGGACTTCATTTCATCGGTAAGGACGACAAGGGCGAGCGCATGGAAATCATCGAACTCAAAGATCACCCTTGGTTTGTTGGTGTTCAATTCCACCCGGAGTATTTGTCCCGTGTCCTCGCTCCAAGCAAGCCGTTCCTTGGCCTCGTTGCCACCGCAGCCGGCGTTTTTGACGAGATTATGAAGTCTCAGGCTTGTGGAAAGGATTTGGCTAGCGGAGTTGCTAACATTGCCATCTAAAAGTATGTTTGTGGCATATTCTGAGACTTGTGTATCTCGTTTTGCGCACCTGCTATCGCGAGAAAAATTATTCCCAACACTTAACGAACAACCTCCGACGTGTCTGTGGATCTCCAGTTCTTCGACAAAAAGAAAAAGAAAAGAAAAGAAACAAACAAAAATACAATGGATCATGAGGGAGTAAAAACAGGGAAAGAAAGGAAAATAAACGTTTGGGTTGCTCAGGTTCGAGTTTGCGATATATTTTGCCTGTCATCCATCGTCGCAATATAGCCGATCAAGCTTTGATCAAGCCTACAGCTAACCTGACTTAGGTTCTAATGCATATACTACTAAACGGAGGTTTCTGGACGTGTGACGATGGGCTGCTGATACTCAACATCACTCAATGGGTGTTGTAGCTAGTTAACGGCTTGATAGATTTGCTTAATTGTCAATGGTATTTGCGTTTTAGGCGCCACAAGGAGCGATCCTCTTCTTCACGTTTTCCACCTTGCATTCGTATTGCTCGACTCTGCACAAGAAAAGCAGCCTTTACTTTTTCTTTTTTCACTTTTTTTTTTGTTTTTCTTTCGGTTTTTTTTTTTTTTTTTTTTTTTTTTTTTTTTGCTGATCCGGAGATAGACGAGCCAGCTCGGCAGGCTCCGAGGGACTCCTTACTTCGTGAAGGCGAACAAGGGGATTCAAGGCTGGCGAGAGTTTGGCTAGTCAAAACGGTTGCCATGTGGCATTGTCACGTGGGGGTGTCCGGATAACGTCGTCCAACTAGTTTACTCGTGCCGTTTCGTGAGCGAAATAAAAATAAAAGAAAAATAAATTAAAACAAAACAAATTTTCTCGTTCATGGAAATGAAAACTTGATATTGACAGCCGGACATTACAGGCCAATGGGGATAGTCAAGAAATCCAAAAAAGCAACCTTAATTTTGGGTTGGAAGGCAGAGAAAGGGGGGGAGAGGAGGGGATAATCATAACGAAAACGAGAGGATGGACGGTCTCCGAGGCTGCCTATGGAGAGAATCAAAATTCATAGGCGTCCGGAGTTTTGTCCGTACTTAGTAATATGTGTAATAAGAAGTCCGGCGGTTTTTCCTGGATTATGAAAGTTTGGGAAGGGTTTACTTAATTAGACACTGCGAAATTAGTAGTAGCTGCACCCGACCCTTGAACCCTGCAAGTAGGCCTTGGGGGCGGGGGGAAAGGGGGAAGTGTGCAGGCATTTGGCATCCTCTCAGTAGCAGACACGGAAGAAGCAAATAACGGATGGGTGGGGATTTTTGAACCACAGAAAAAAAAACTGCAATAATGTAAGTAAGGACGTAACAATATCCAGAGGATATCGTGGTTGGAATTCATGGTCAGACTGAAGAAAGCTGGAAACTGCCACTGTCAAGTGTTTTCTCGGAGTGGGGGACGACCGGACCAGGCTGCGAGTTAGAAGGAGATAAGGCCGGTTGAAAGCCGAGGTGGAAAAAGGAGAGGCATCCGTTTGTTTGTTTGGATCTGTATCCTCATTCTGCCTGCATGTCAAGGCCGTGTCAGGGGGTGACAGGTAAAGTTCAAGGCTTCACCATCTTGCCTATCTGCCAGATACCAACATATCGCTATCCTGGAAAAGGCTCCAGCTTTCCCTTTTTGGCGGATGACCGCCAAATTAGGCTGCTCGATTCGGTTAAAACTTGCGGCAGGCCGACCAAGCAGGAGAGAATTGACGGACGTCCGCGTAAACTTGGTTGTTTCAACGCAACGCCGATGGACGTAGCTTCGTCCGTAGCCGATATGGAAGACTGGCGGAGCTGGCAGAGCATGGCCAAAGTTGGCAGCCCGAGGATCCATAATCCATATAGTGTTTGGTTGATAGGACGTGGGAAGCTTTGAACCTTCGAAACTGCTCAAGGCCCCATATAAGTAACTAGCTACTAGTTCATGTCAGAGGAAAACAAAACAAAACTAAAAAATAAAATAAAAAAAAAAGGGCAAGATGGAGGCAGCAGCATTTGTTAACCTGGGTTGGTAAGCGGCAAAAAAAAAAAAAAAAAAAAAAAAAAAAGGGAAAGCCGTTAATCACTTGCCTTGTTATGTCTGCCCTGGTGGAGCGGATATATGGTGAGCCTGGATAGTGAGTTGACAGCAGGCATCCTGGTACCTGCATTACACCACTCTCCTCTCAAGCCATGGTCATGAGGAGGACCTTTTTTATTCCCTCTTCCTCTTCTCCCCTATCTCTCCTCGCCCTCGCCGTCATCCCCGCTCCGAGAGGACCAGGGAACAGGGAGACACGCAAGGCATCCCTTTTGACGAAGCTCCGGAGATTCCTCCAGCGCTGTACGGAGTACTTCTTACAAGGCATGGCTTCGTTTTAGAAGCTCGAAGCCAGCCCAGAAGGGGACATTCGGTCCCTATTAATAGCCTAGCGCAGTTTTTTTTTTTTTTTAACGACGCAGCCGCTCGGCGTTCAAGCATCGATGGATCACATGAAGCTTGGTTTGGATATGTAAGTAGATGTCCCGTCTACCCACTCGTCCAGGATTTGCGGTTCGTCTTCTGTGCTCCTCGTCGTCGCCCTCATCGTCCTTCCTTCGAATGCACGATAGTCGATCACTCTTGCCAGAGCTCGTTCTCGCATGGGCGTGCCGTGCTGAGCCATCCCGGCCTGCTCAGGCATATAATCCGGTTGTTATCAAACAGCCAAAAGCAACTTTTGCTCCTGTCCAATCAACATGCTTACATAAGCCACAAACCCTCCAGACGCCCCAAAAAAGGCGCAGAAAAGAAACGAGAAATCCAACGACAGATGCACAGTCAAGACAGCGGGAGGAAGAGAAAAGCGGCGAATCGGCTCGCTTCGTATAGCAGGAGACGTTGCTATATCATAGATTATATGTGATACATGTCGAATAATGATAAATATACGATGCGAATATCTACGCAGCCCTTGGGCCCCTGGACAATGGAAGCTAGCAGACAGGCATTGGCCGTATCCACCAGGGCAGACACTTTGGCAGAAGGTGCAATTATCGTACCGCCACCTCGAAATGCAGATGGATTCACATATCATGGGTATCGCGAATACCATCGCCCTGCAATTGGGGCTGTCATTTCGCTCGACACAGTGGTTACACCCAAGAGTTGAGCCCGAAGCCTGCCATGCTAGGATTTCAAACGCCAACAAGCATTGGGCTTTGTCCCATCATGCGCGACATCTCCCAATACTGCAAAGTCAGTGTGGAGCTGTATTATTCACATCTAAAAAGACTAAGTAGGCTCCTGGCGTGAGAGGCCTGTTTGTTGATTTGGAGGTACAGGGCTTATCGATCGTCTCTAATCCATGCTGAGGACGCTCTCCTGTGTCCTCCTCATGTGGTGGATAGTCAAAGCCGGATATAAAGGATTCGTGAGAAGGAAAAAAATGGAGCGTATTACTACCTCACGTCATAATTATCAACAACAGCTCTCTTAAGTCGCCGACGTTGAGAAAAGCTCTTAAAGAAGCTAGTTCACAACGGTCTGAAATTCGCACTCTGAGTACGGACTCCGTACTCCAGCCTCGCTTGAAGTCCAATGGACAGTCGATCACCTTTGGTTCCCCTGTCCTGTTCGCGGGAGCATGTCTTCGCTCTTCTACGAAGTATAGTTTTCCACTTCCCTTTTTTTTTTTCCCCTCTCTTTCTCGGTCTCTCCTTTCCTCTTTCTTTAGCTTCTTTCTTTTTCTTTGATGGGATATCTTTCTAGTTTACCTCCGTTTTCTTTCCTCCCGTTGGGCCAAGGTTCTACGCGGATAGGCCCAACGTTCCTTGAAAGACCCCCTTGCATCTGTTGATACTGTCATTGGTTGCTGATGAGGAACCGGCCCATACTGACAATCATTGCAGGGCAAGCCGAAGAGTGGGATCAAGAGGTTGTACTCCGTACTCGTTCGGTCCGTACAGTTGCCGGCATCGATTGGTGAATTTCTATTTTACTCTCTTTACTTTTCTTGTTGCGGTGTGCCTCTGGCGTTCCCTCTTCTCGTCTACTCCTTGTTTATGCACCGCAGGGGGCTGGTCCTTTCCCTTTGTGGTGGAGAGTTAACCATTAATGGCTGGCTGACCAGTCTCGACTTCTACACCTCTCCTCTTCCCCCTACATGCTCATGTAACTCCATCCGGAGTTCCTTTTGCATGTGGTGGGCAGCTCTGGCTGAATATTATCACGCAATTGCGTTCTAGCCCGATATCCTTGTGTTCAGAAGGATGCAGCTTCTGCTAGACATGCGGAGCCTACCGGACATGATCTAAATCTCCTCGCCATTCCTGCAACTTTTTTACTTTCCTGCTTACTCTCCCTGTCCTCCTCTTCGCCTCTTCGAGAACCGCTATTATTCTGGTAATAGGCTGGCTCGCCTATTCCCTTGCGTTGAGACTTGAGATGTGAGAAGCAATCAAGAGGCTGGGCTTCTATATATTTTCCTTTTTGTTCTGCTTTTCGTTCCTCTGTTTCTCTTATCTCTTGTGAGATCTTCTTCAAATGAGTCAGTGTCTGTACCAAGCTCATAAAGAAAGTTTGGAGAATCCGCATTTCTCTGATCAGGGGTTGGCGAAATCCAGCCACAGCAGACTGTTGTTATATTATGATTGCTTGATGTCTACGGTGTGGGGACATACATGTAAAAAACCCTCTTCAACCTCCCCCCTCCCCACGATATTTTGATTCGCTCTCTTGATTCCTTCCACAACCAAAAGAGTGATGCGCGCCAATGCCGACGGCCTTGGGTACCCATTCTCCCACTGCTGGGCCGGGGGATAGCGTTGGGTAGATTCGGTTGGGAGGTAAATTTTTCACGAGCGGACTGAGGAGCTAGGCTCTGCAGCATCCGAAATCAGCTAGGGCCGTCTCTAGTGGTGAAACTTCATCTGTGCGCGCAAATACTTAAATACGATAACGATGTACGGAGTAGTTGATTAACATTATCATTGCGGGAAATGATTGCTCTTGCCTGGAACCTCCCTCAAGGAATCTGCACCTTGATATGGTATACGTATTTTATTTATATTTTTATGCAAAGAGAGTTAGATTCGCTCGCATTCAGCCGGTTAAGCGTATCCATCCGCCTGCGGTTCGGTTCTATGTTTGGAAAATTGGTTTAAATTAGCTCTCACGGCACGGAGTGCTGGCCCCGAACTATCCGCGAAATACTGACGGAGGTCGTACTCTGCATGAGCCGAAGTCGACTCTGGTTGCTGCTGATAATGGATACGGCATGCTAGGAGCGAGAACGGTGGGTTGTAGCTAATTAACCCAGACGATATGCCTTTTGGACGCTGTCATTAATATATTATTACATATCAAGTCGATCATATTGAGATTCAACTTCGATCCACGCGGACCAGGGGTTGTAGTTGACCTCTTTTCCATGGACCTGCTCCTGAAGGCGCATTTAACCAGGGCATACCTCGAGCTTGTATTGGCCATTGGATGAGACTCGGCAAACTGGCCGACTCCCTATTTTCCTTTTCAGTGACACTCCCTCTGAAACGGGGTTCTTCCACAAACAGCAACCCGCATTATTACTTCGTCATCTGCCTTATCAGCTCTATCGATAAAAGCAGTGGCGCAACACTGGCCTGGTCCATGCCCGGCCAGCCAGTTTACCTAAAAAGAAAGCGCATGGCCTTGGTTTGGGCCGGTGTGGTTTGGGGAGAAGCCCCCTTCGACAACGGCTTTTCTGCAAGAGTGCATAAAAACCACGCACAGAAAAAAGAAACAAGAAAAGCATCCCCAGAAAGCCCCGAAGGGCCCAGCTCGTGTTCAGAGGGCTCTGACAGGCTCAAAACCTGCGATGCTGTGTCCAGTCCTTCTCAATGAGCGGGATGGTGTCGTATTCTTCTGTTTCCTGTCTGTTTTGCCTTTTTTTCTTGGTTGCTGGTTCGGCTTCACCTCACTCCTCCCATCACATCGCTGCTGCTGGTGGTGTCTCTATGCTGGAAAAGAAATTATCATCCCGCTTCCTGGCGTGGCTATCAATGGATATCGCGTTATGGAGTCGAGAGTTGCCTGCATGCACGCTTATGTCGAGGGTTGTCCTGATACCCCAGAGCCAATGCAAGCCACGGACATCAACCGGCCACAGACCTCTGCTGATCAAGATGTTCAAAAGTGATGGATAAATCAACGGTCTCCGGGCGCACTCAGGCGCTGGTTTGCTGGTTCTTTGGCGTGCTGCTTCGTGCAAGCCCAATATATATATATACTCCGTATATACGTATATATATATATATATTTATATACCCGCAATACCTCCCTCTTCCCAGCACCGAATCTCTCTGAAGCCAGCACAGGGGAACGGCAGCCGTTTCGCATAAATATCGACCGCGCTTGCACAACGCCGATCTCCTTTTTTTGGAATTCGATTAGTGATTCTTTTTTTATAGTTAAGATTTTCTTCTGTTCTTTTTCCATGTATAAATTTTCATATTTGTTCTTCTGGTGTTAATTCTTGCTTTTTTCCTGCCTGTTAGTCCAGGTAACGAAATTCTGAGAGAAAGTAAGGAGAAAAAAAGCCAAAGGGCTGAAAGAGAAAAGGAAGAGAGGGAGAGAGAGAAAAAGCAAGGAGCCAAAGGAGGAAGAATAAGAAAACATAGCCAGAGAGACGAAGTGGGCGACTGAAGAATGAGAAGAATCAGAAGAAGCAGAAGCAGGAGAAGAAGCAAAGAGATCCACGGCGGTGGACTTTCTGGCTGTGCTGCTTTTCTTTTCCCTGGGCGGCGGCCGGCGGCACGTTACCTTCTTTCTGCCCAGCGCTGAGGTTTCACCGCCCGCTAAAAGGAACGACGACGTCAAAAGAGACTTCGACCTCAACTTCAACTTCAACCTCATCCTCAACTTCAACCTCAACCTCAGCCCGTCGACAGTGACGGTGACGGCGATAGCGACCTTTGCCTGGCTTTCGAGCCCATCATGCGATCTCCACCACGGCCGTGATGGCCAGTTGCCAGGATCCCTGTACGTTGGTCTGCCAGAGCCCTTGTTCGCAGTGAGCTAAGCCTTGATGCAGCATCCTGTCGCGTCAAGATGCTCCGACTCCACGGAGAACAGACTTGACAACGCTCATGCATCATGGGAGAATCTATCCACTGTCTCCCCTCTCTGTCTCGGCCTCTCTCTCGTCTCTCCTTTTTTCTCTGTTAAGATCCATGATAAAAAAAAAAAAAAAAAAAAAGAAAGCCACAGGCTCGCAGCTCGCGGCGGGAAAGCCAAATCCCGTTTGCCGTGGGGACGATGGACGCCCTTTTTGTTTTTATTTGTTTTTTTTTTTTTTTTTTTTTTTTTTTTTTTTGCCCTTTGGCAACGTCGAAAGCTAGAACAAGGTGAGGAGAGGGAGGGAAGGAGAAGAAGAAAGAGAAAAAGAAAAGAAGAAATAGACGATGAGGAAGAAGGCTGAAAAGTGCGAGCATATCCCTCTTTAGCTGGCGGGAAGAGCGTATATACGCAACTCTGTACGGAAAGAACGCTTAGCATCCTTGAGCTAAGTGTTGTTAGTAGGGTTATTATGGACGATTGCCGCAGCTGCAGCTTAGCAGGCCACTCTTCACACCCTGATGCCCAATAAGTCCCGAAATAATATGGATGAAGTGAAGAGGACAGAAAAACCTTTCAGGGAGCTGGTTCAACCACCTCTTGTAACTCTCGGCATGCATCCAGTGTGCTGGGTTGACACGACTGTCCGCTTTTTGCTTCTCGACATACCTCTCCTGACGGGGATTCTCACACCTTATCCACTGGCACCCCTTGTCATTTTAATGTTCGTCACTGGTCAGAACATCATTACACGGGGTTAGCAACCACCTGCTCGACAGTCCTTTTTTTTTTTTTTTTTTCCTTTCGACCTCCTTTTATAACGTGTTATGTATATCTGGAGCTGTGGAGCCTGTCATAGCCATCCGTGGATTTTTTCAAACCTCCAACGGTGGCGCGGTGGGTCTTTTTGAATATCACACGCATCGTACGTATCTGTGTACACCTCTACATCTATACTTACACACACGTTTCATGGAAAAGAACTTGAGTAGCGATATCGGGAATTTCGCTAATTACAGTCTAGGCTTTGCGAAGGCTTCCCGCCCAGCTTCCCTTGATCGAATCTCTCAGACAAGCCCCAGTTTATCCCGGCGAAGCTAATTAACGGCAGCTTCTCCCGACTAAACGTTGTTTCCTGCTCATGGGCCACAGGTCGGCACAATTCTCTTCTCTGCCCTTCATTTTTGCACAGGTAGACTTGCCGGTCCTGACGTCGCATCTACTCATTTTAAAATACCTTTTTATACTTTCTCTTCCCATCTCTATTCTGATTTGATCAAGCCCCTCTCTTAATACGCCCTTATTATTATTACTATCCCATGCCCTGCTATGCCGTTATTACCATACCTATTATTATTATGATCTGTCGCCAGCGTCCCGATGACCTCCATGACAATAAATTATAATAATAATACAACCATGCACAGAATTAGTTTTGCCTTTGAAGTGTGAGCTTGTCAGCATTTTTTTTCGACCTCTGCAACTTCTCACTTGAACAAATATCATATGCCCTTCTACTGATATAGATTCTTTCGACCTTCGATCTTCCCCTTTCTCCCCTTCTTCTATCAATATCATACTGTTTATTATTATCATTCTGGCATCGCTAAGGTCCTTAGAGGGTGGGGTGGGCGTTCCTCTACTACTCTTTTTGCTGCTATCAACGAGCTTGCCTCACGCGATCCATTTCATTTATACGCACAGGGTGTGTCGAGTAACGTATCTAGGAGCCGCCTAGAGAGAGAAAGAGGGGGCTGAATTTACGCCCTAGGAGTTGGTCGTGGAAAGAGAGAGGAGGGTCAGAGCTTCATTCAGGAGTGGAAGAAGGCAGAACTGAACAGGGAGGGCAACGGACTGGACAATCCCCAGGGCATTCGGTTAGACAACCGCCCTTTCCTACCACTAGGTCACCCTCTGGCGCAAATTTCAAGCAGCCTGCTGGAGCTTCAAAGCTCTAGCAGAGCTGGTTCGCAGCCGTGACGCTGGCGGATCCATACCGGGATTATCAAATTGATTACTCCGCCCACGAACAGACGAAAGCGCAGGAGCAACAGAGCCAGTTGGTATACGAGACAGACCAACAGCAAGCAACGCTTCATCATGGGGGACGCCCTGGAGCAGCTTTCATTTCGAGTGGCCATACTTCGCAATACCAATCTCAGCCACAACAGCATCCCCTGCACCGGAGCCCCCATCAACAACACCAGCAGCACCAGCAGCACCCGCAGCACCACCAGGCATCGCAGCAACAGCCCCAGCACTCACAATCTCAACAGCCGAGTCAGCCGAGCCACGGTCCAGGTGCGGTTTTGATGCCCTCCCCTAGTCAGCACGGCGTTGTACGTGACTTGCAACAGCAGCCAGTTATGATCCCAACGCCTATGGTGCCACCGCAGCTGCCTCCTCATTTCAGTTCCACTTCACTCCCGTTGCCGTACCCTGGAGACCGGCATGGTGTGAAAAGGCGGCGAGCGGATGATGGGCGAAGCGGAGGGAGTGATGAGACGGCTTCTGGGATCGGACTTTCCATGCTTCCAGAATCATCTCATGCTGACGAGCAACACTCCTCCGAAATGCTTTTACCTACTCCGGGAGATCATTCATCTCACCACCCGCATGCTCTACAACATGATTATCACCAGACATCCCCGATTCATCAACAACATCACCATCACCGACTACCGTCCCAGGCTACCCTAGCGGCAGTTCAGGGTAGTGATGGTGAACTCACATCCCCCGGTGGAGGCACCGGGTCACAAAGCGTCGTTGGCCAGCCGGGCATGCCGGACCCTGCGCCTCGCCCCAGGGGCCCAAAATTGAAATTCACACCGGAAGACGACAGTTTACTCGTGGAGCTGAAGGAAAATCGGAACCTGACCTGGAAGCAGATTGCAGAGTTCTTCCCAGGTCGGACCAGCGGGACCCTGCAAGTACGATATTGTACCAAACTGCGGGCAAAAGCAACAGTTTGGACAGACGAAGCAGTATGTCCTTTTGCCCTGACCCGTGCATTCCTGATCCCCGTTCTTCCCCTGACCTTTTCTGAACCTTTCCCCCTTTTTTCGAAACTTAAATCCACTGGGCACTAATCACGTCCATCCTGCTGGTGCCCGATATACTGACATGTTTTATCTTCAAAGGTGCAACGCCTGCGTAACGCCATTCAAGATTACGAAAACGATCGCTGGCGTATCGTTGCTACGAAGGTTGGCAGCGGGTTTTCTCCCGCAGCCTGTCGAGAAAAAGCTGCAGAAATTCCCCCCTCAAATCCCCCACCAATCTAAGAGCTACTCCTCATTCGACTCCCGCTAGAACGCTTCTCGAATGCCATTTTGCTACCTATCGGGACTAGATCGCTTCTACCCGCGCCTCATGATGTGCGACAGCGTGGTACATTCAAAATCTATTGGTACCCATCTTGCTCTAAATTACAAAGAACACCGCATACGTCTATTAATATCGATGTCTAACTTTTCTTTCTCTCCCTTTCGACTTTTAATTTTCAATTTGACTTCGGGATTTGTCGGATACTTTTCTCTACTTTGGTTAGGCAGATTCAAGATCCGAAAATTCGACAGGTACATCTTGAGCCTGCCTCCTTACATCTGGATGTCAAGAGAAAGCAGTAAATTCTGGGCCATCGAAAGTTCTTAAGATTTAGAGCAAACTACCAGCGGGAAAATTCTTCCAAAGGCACAATGTTCATCGAGAGCGGCCGGTGATCCTTTTGTTTCTACAGAAAAAGAAACAAGAAAGATAATTGTGTCACAGATTCTCTCGAGCATGATTCCCGTCGAGTCATCATTGTTGACGTGTAATCAACCACACCGAATCTTTTTCTCCGGCAGGACCGAAGAATGAAGCAAGAATATGAAACACCCATCGCGCTATATCCCATGGTTCCTGCAACCTCCCGCTATTTCAACTTCAGTGGGATGTCAATTCAACTTGCGTGATAATAGAATACCAATAACTAGGCGACTGATTTTGATTAATCCCGCTACCGCCCTTATGATACCCAGGTGTTCTGCTGTCCAAATTGACACCACAAACCTTGAATTAGCAAACCCCAGGTTCCTCTTTGCCTTTTTGCCCAACTCTCTATTTTACCACTGACTGGACGAATGCCAGACGTTGAACCATGGCTGTAGCCAACTCGATTACGGTCAATACCCCTTTCCTTCGTTCCCTTTGTTTAGATGTATCTTGCATGGAGCCCTAGTCATTCACTTCAGAGCCATTTGCTTACTCTATTTTCTTCTTTACTAATAATTTTCTCTCGCTTGGTTTTGTTTTCACTTCTTTCCCTTTTATTTTTCGTTTTACTAGCTGCATAACCGTTGGCGTCAATTTTCTTATCTACTGAACCCTTTCCCGTATAATAATGGTTGGCTCACTTGGCCTACATCCCTGTAATATCACAGGAGGCCTGTAGCTAGCATGCTAAGTGTATGGAGCACACTCCTTTTTTTGTTCCCCTCTGGCGGATGTTAGTTCCTATGTTTACTTTCTTATGTACTGTATTTTTCCTTTCCGATTTCTGTATCTCCTGCATCTCGAGATTGGCTGGTAGCAGCAAGACACGGAGTACAAGTGGGAGCTAACAGGATGCCGTGTTGAAGATGTCAATTTTGGTTTTGTATCTATGCATATATACCCTTTTCTGTACTCCAGCTCCCTTTGGTGGACTGTGGGTTGAGTCCCCTGTTTATTTAGTCGGTGTGGCTTCACATTGCTGGTCCCCTTTCACATACCCTTTGACTTCATTCGTGTTTTTGTTCCAAGGTGGTGGTTCCATTGCTCTATTTATTCCTGAGATATAATGATCAAGAAAGTGTTCTTGCAACAAAATAAAGCTTCTTATGGAGATATCGTCCCCATACATTCCATACTTGCAGATAGTCCTTAATCTCGGCATTTATTGTCCGGCCACAATATTCCTGGAGAGTTCCACTGGATATACACCTAGAGCAAACAACTCGTTAGTCTATTTTTAAGTAAGTTCCTGAACATGTTACACTAGGAGCACTTGACTATTACGAGGCTGTGTGATGTTCGCATACGGATCTAAGATGGACGTGCCTGACCGGTTTTGTGGGTTCAATATAAGGGTGTGTCTCCGGAAGGGGTGGGTATCAGGGGTAGCGAAATCCAAGGGGCGACCTACTCACCATAGTATACATATCGGCCTGATGGAGCCTCAGCTGATGAAAGGCAACGACGCGTGTAATTTATATGGCGGTGAAGTCTTCTGCGGTGATGACTAGATTCGGCTTAGGGTAATATGGAAAACTCCCCGAGTACCGTGCATGCGCGAGATGAAAAGATGCGTAAAGGTTGCACATTCGTCTACCATTGTATTCAACTCGACTGCACCTGCAGGAACGCCCGTTATGACTTTGCTGGCGATGACTTAACGTCATGCTGTATAATATGCAGGAATCCGTAAATAAGGCAGGGGAGATACTTCACATACGCTTCACGGCCTCTGAATTTTGGTCAGCTTATGTGGCGCTGGTCAGTTTCTCTTCTTAACGGGGGCTAGGTTTCGGTAAGCCGACAGCTGGAGTCTCATGCAGGAAAACTTTGAAGGGTACCGGTAACAATATATCTAGACTAACCCAGTAGAGGCAGTGGCCGATTGAAGATGAAAAGTATACCCCAAAGTCAATCGAGGTTGGTTTTGTTCCTTTGATGCGTGTATGCAGGGTAGTACAAGCTAACGAGCATTTCACCTTATCCACGTCAATAAAAAACGAGATATAGCTGCAGAAGCACCTCCCCATGTTTAACTAGGAAAGCACTTTGTTGCCCCCTTAAGGATGGTTACACATTGTGTAGAACACTCTGAAAAATCTGTTGATTCAGCATGCAATAACGAACATGTTCAGAACAAAAATCTTGGGGATGGCTCCAGTCTTAATCTCGAGGATTAAAATTACCCCAACAAGGCAGTTCATAATGAGGCTTGGATTTATGCACCATAGGTGTGTTCTCGCCTTATGAGGCTGAAACCCAGTAGCTTCATGATTGATATCATCTGATATTACCATTTTGTATGTTTGCTCCAAATAATGACTGTCTAGTTTTGCATACGTCCCACTACCTCTTTCTTGAAAACACCCTTTCTAGGGCTGATGCTCAACGTATGAACAAGATAGAGTTGGCTATGTAATACAGGCTTGTAACCCCTTTTAACTCATCTGTTGGGCGCAAATTTGAGTCAGGGCCCATCAAGATACCGAATCGGGTAGCTAGATACTAGCAAACGGGAATCATCTGGTTGGCCCAAGGCAGTATATTGCAATAAGGCAATTTATATCTCGCGGTCTGCGGCGTGATGCTTCATGGTAAAAAGTGGTTGCACGAGGGAGAGACATTTCTGGGTAGCCATCAAATTCATAGAATGACTCGGTTGACAAATCAAGGCTTTGAGAAATACTAGTGATACTCGGAATCTAGTATCTGGGCCACACCCGCCCATATACCAAGAGAAAGTTCTGAAAGGCGGGTATCATTACTGGGATTTGGTAAGTTCAATGTGTTTCTGTAACCAACCCCGACTTGTGACCCGCATATTCGGATCTTTCGTTTTGGGCCAGTTAATGGTTTTTGCAAACCGGTCATTAGACAATACCAGGACAAGGCCCAGCAGCATATCGAGCATGGAAGCTCAACAATATGAAATTTCCGTCCTTACCTCTAATATCCCGTGGACCTTGTAGCACGAAAAAGAGGCGTGCTCCGGAAGTAAGGAAAAGGGAAAGCGCAACGTTGAAGGGTAAACAAAGGGAGTTACCCAACCTCTTCTGTGCATTTTCTGGAATCGGAATAACCAAAAATTGGACATCATGGGGCGACAACCCATGCGTAAAAGGTTATACAGAGTTAAGCATGCGAAGCGGCGTACTAAATCTGATGCCGAAGGTATGAGAGATGCCAATGGTAAAATCGGTGCTGGAGAATTGGGTGACAAATGAAAGCCATCTTGTCGTTAAGATAATTGCCCATGCAATGGTGTGGAAATAATTAGTATCAAGGTCATTCCAATGTGAACTTTGGAGTGGATTGAAGCTATAACTTGTTTTCTCCTGTTGTTCAAGCCACCCGCACGTAGATATTCGAAGAGCCGTCAAGAGTGTAATTCTCTTATATTGTTCAATGAGCTGAGTCTCATCCGTCAGGAGGATATATAGTCCCCAGATATAGCGATATAGAGTGACCTCGAAGTTCGAGCAAATTGCATCAACTGTCTGTTCGGCGGCGGTCTCATCTGTGTGCGTAGAGAAGCAGCTTAGTCGAAGCGAATAATAGAGAGATATCGCCCATTAGAGAGACTAGCCAGAGGTTACATACATGTAAACTATCCGTTCTAACTACATTGTCACGATTTTGTAGGGTTGATTGACGGAGCAGCGAGGAATATCGACTGATGACTTGTGGTTGAGAGCTTTCCTTTTTGGGACGATAGGGTAATATTTATGTGATGACATAATCTGTCAAAGTGGCTCCACGTGATGTGATTCTCATTGGTCAGATTAGAACTGTTTAAACCATGACTAAGCAGAAACTGACCATCCGGAATCAGGCATTTTCCAAGCCAAAAGTCCAAAATCATCACTCCACCTCGACTTCAAACCTCTCCTATCACCACAACAGAGTCCGCCGAACAACCCAATTGGTGGCGTTTGAGGAATTGCGAAAAGATGTTTGTCCAGCGAAGTGTTTTCGCTCTTGCCAGACGGGCACCAGTCCGAGCTGTTGCGAAGCGCTCTTTTTCTACGTCATTCGTTCGATGTACGTACCAGTCCCGTCCTTTTGCCTTAAAGGAAGCTTCGCTTGATGGACATGAGTGTGATGAGATGTCCAATTGGGCAAAGAAATTGTCATTTGGAACAGGCCGCGTGGTTAGAGCCGTGACTAACTCGTTAAATTATGACAGTCGAAGCCAAGTCGAAATGGGATCCTCAACCTGGCGAATCAGCCGGAAAGATGGTTTCCTTCGAAGGTCCGTTAAGACACCGTCCTGAACCTAGAATTCCTCTCTAGACCCCTGTATTTGCTTCTCTGAGGTTCTGAAAGGCTCCGA